TGTAGATGGAGTTTAGGTAGAAGATGTAGACTTTGGGGGACAAAAAGCAACTTGATGACAGTAGAATGAACTGGAAGTTGATCAACAGGTCAGATTAAAAAATGATCTTAACCAGCAGTGGCAAAATGGTGGAGGTGAGAGGAAGGAAACCAATTTGAATGTGAATAAAAAGTGATATAGATCTATAGAGAAACAGATAAAAAGATGTTTGATAGTGAAAGATAATATAAATCTATATCTATTTAGGTACATGTGGTGACTTATCAGGCAGCAAAAACAAGAAAGATAGGATTGTATACTACTCTTAGTCTGTGGCTCAGAAAAGGTAGGGGAAGGTAGTACCAATAACCAATATAAGGTATATCAGAGGAGACTTTAGGTGTGGCGTTTGGCAGGCATGCGATGAGTTTCGTTTCAGACATGCTGGGTTTGAGAGGTCTTGTGTGATAACCAAGAGCAAAGAGAGTTCTGGAGCAGAGAAGGTAAGCAATTGCATTGAGTCTCTGGTGGAGAGAAAAGAGAAAAGGAGGTCCTTGTAAAAAATACTGTGAGAGGATTTGAAAGTTTCTTTTTCTTTTTTTCATTAAATCATAGCTGTGTACATTAAGGTAGTCATGGGGTACAGTGTGCTGGTTTTATATACAATTTGAAATGTTTTCATCAAACTGGGTTAACATAGCCTTCATGGTATTTTCTTAGTTATTGTGTTAAGATATTTATATTCTGCATTTAGAAAGATTCACATGTACCCTTGTAAGATGAACCATAGGTGTGGTCCCACTTTGATAGTTTTCTTGCATACATTAAAATATAACTATATATACATATATTTATTTATTTATTTGTTTGTTTTTGAGATAGAGTCACACTCTGTCACTCTTGGTACTTGGTAGAGCGCTATGGTGTCATAGCTCACACAGCAATTGGCTCAACCAATCCTCTTTCCTCAGCCGCTGAAGTAGCTGAGATTACAGGCACCTGCCACAATGCCTGACCAGTTTTTTGAGAGGGTGGCCCACTCTTGCTCAGGCTGGTATGGAACTCATGAGCTCAGGCAGTCCACCTGCCTCAGCCTCTCAGAGTGCTAGGATTACAGCCATGAACCACCACATCTAGCCCTACATAACTAAATATAAATAATTCTAGTTGTTATTTTAAGTTCTTTGACTTTGTATGTTCAGCTGATAAAATCAGAACAAATTTGCTTTGCTTTTAATAGTCTTTTCTAACATTCCACAAGGTCAGAAAAGGGAACAACTTCCAAATGTCAATAAACAATTATCTGAATTATCCACCACAACAAAAAAATAACAACAGTTGACAGTTTCTCTATATCTGGAGCATATTAAAACTATAGTTTAATACTAGATATCATAAATGATAATGATATTAAAACTATTTAATATAATTTCCGATAGAACATTTTATGGTAGAAGCCACATAGATTCTTTAGGAAAGACTGCTTGGGAAGTGATTTGAAGCTGAAATCTGGAAAAGGAGGAGCATCAGCGTTGCAAAGGCAAGGGAGTGTTGCATGCAAAGAATAGCATTATGTGGAATATTGAACCAAAATATCTCTGAGAAACACACTAGTTCATGGAAATTACTCCTTCCATAAGGAAATGCTTAGAAACCAAATAATTTTAGGAGCTTGGCTTCTAGGAACTGAAGCCAAGTACTCAAACATAAAATTCAGCCTTTTAATCATATTCAAAGATTGAATGCTTGGGCAAAAGTCCAACCTAGAACTAAATCTCTAGACTTTGGTTAATTATGAAAATGTCAAAGTTGCACAGACAATGGCATAAAAATTATCCACAGACTTTATTGCAGCCCTTTATTACTTTATTAGAGTAACTTGTGGTATCTAATAGCTACTGAAATGTCTCAACACTATGGGAAAACACAAATTAAATATATTTTAAGGCATGAATTTTATATCCCAGGGTATCGGCCATGGATTTCATTTCATCTATATCAAAACCAGAGGATATTATCAAATTAAAATAAATTCTATGAGTGATATAAACTCAGACTCTTACATGTACAGTATAAAATTTAAATAAATCTATTACAAGTTTATGGCAGCCAGATCTGGGCATTTGAATATGTGAAGTTTTAGTGCTGCCATTTTCTTTGGCAGGGATGGGATCGGTTCTGAAATAAATACCAGTAAACAGTCTTCCCCATTAATTACATGTGTAACCACCAGCTGTTGTTTCAAATTAAGGTCTATTTTCTTTTAGATTTCCATGCCTTAGTCTCATAATCAGCAAAATAACTGGAAAATAATTGAATAAAAATAGCAGTAGTAAAATATTCAAATATATCAATATACTCCAAACAGCAATGCAATATAACATAGATAATTTAACAGCTACTACATATCTAGATCCAGTTCAATTGGTAGCTATGGATTAAAATGCATTTAATACAGTACCTAGCACATTGTGGGTGTTTGTTGAGTGGAATGTTGAGATGAAAAACACCCCACTGTAGCCCTCAAGGAGCTTCCAAACTAATTAGCTTTATTTGAAGTTCTTGGGGCCAATTCTTATAAACTGAATAAAAGATTCATAATCTTTCCTAGAATATAAATGTCTTATTAGCAACCAAAGGCATTTTTGGAAACAAATTCAGTAAATTTACTTAGATACCAGTCAGATAGCCCCCAGTTGAAAATATTAAATTACTAAGAAATCCAAAGCTTAGAGGCAAAGTAGAAATCCATTGTAAAAGTAGAGATAGTGAGTTCACCTGTGCCTTAGTTTTTCCTAATTAAAAAACCAGGTGCAATATACATTTCTATTCATACTGTAGAACAATCTTGACCCCTCTGCACCCAAATATCCAGCCCACCAACCAAGATGATTTTTTAGATTTTTTTGCTGCATTTTATTTTATTTTACTTTTTTGCATAACACAACCTTTATGGTGTAGGATAACATGAGATCCGATTTTGTCCTTCCTTGTTATAAACTCTCAGTCATCTTTAGAGTATTGCCCTGGTAAGCTTTTCCTGACAAATTCTTCCCAGAGTGTTCTCTCCTTTCTTCCTTCTTGGCTACTTACTTCTATGGCCTTAGCTTGTGTACATCAGACTCTGCTCTTTCCATATATGTAAATCATACATTGATTCATTAGACTCATTTAGATCATAAAGGCAGATGCATTATTGTTACCCTCATATTCTAGGTGGAGTAACTGAGAAAGAAGTGGCTCAAGTAACCAGTCCAAAGGTGTTCATGTCGTGCTTGGGAAAAGAGGGGCTTACACAGTGGAAAACGGCTTCCGAGTCCCTGCTATTACCCGCTGTACTCTACTGCTTTGTTCAAACTCTTGCATTTGCACGTTGTATTGAAATCATATCTTTACATCACCGTCTCCTCTTCTGGGAGTTTGTAACAAAAATTTTATAACACAAATTTCCATCCTTGTGTGTATGTCTTCCGAGGCAGTTATGCTATCTGGTACCTTGGAGATGAGCAAAATATTTGTTGAATAAACAAAATGTGGCCTGGAAGAAACTTTCCTTGTCAAAGGAACATAATTTTCAAAGTTTCCATCAGTAAGTGAAATTTATCAGTATGGTAATACTATGTGTACCAAGATCAATTATTGATCCTTGAACGTTTTCAAAATTTCTATCCTGCAGGGGTGATTTACGGATCATCAGCTTTCTGCAATAGTATTCAATTGTGGCAGGAGAAAAACATTCCACTTGCCTCATGGTAAGTACTATTTTCTATTTTTTTAGAAAAAGGTTGATTTTTTTTTAGCTATATTTTCAATCTGACACCAGATCTAATTCTTTTTGATCCCCCTTAAGTCCACCGTAAGTCCACTATACTCTGTTCCAGAAAATCCCCTCTATTTCCAGCCTCCACCAACCAGATCATTTTTTTCGTTTCCTACCATTGTCATTTTCTCAGCAGGTTCCAGCTGGCATTTTGTTGCCTTTAGCTGTGATGTAGGGTTTCTGCCACCCAAACCAGTTGTTCTCACTCACTTAATCATGGGCCATCTGCTTGATTTTTCAGGCCTGTTTCTGCTTACATATAACCTCTTCAGATGAACTGTGTAGCTTCTCAGCCCTCAGTTCTTTATTATGTGAGAATATTTATAAAAATGAAGCAGAAACTGACCCACAGAGGATAACATGAGTATGTCGTCACGTGACATTAGTCTCTGATCCCTATTAAATGGCCATTGGGTGTTCATAAAACAAATCACAAAGTTTCCTTTATGGTTTTCCAACACTAGACACAATTTCTTTCTCAGCAAATAAATAATTCTCTATTTTTTTCCACATTTTGGTCGACTGTGTAACCTTTTCTCAACGCTCTTTCTTTTTTATTTCTGGCTCTTCTTTTTCTGCTGGCTAGATCAAGATAAAATAATTTTATTAAATGAATATGCTTTTATCTACACTAAAACGTATGCTAGTCTCAGGGCACACAGTATTTCCCTCTAGGATTGGTCAGTGAGAGATTAGGGGAGCTTGAGCTGCAGCTACACCACCAAATCACAGATAGATAGTCAAATTTGTAATGGGCCACAGGGGAGCACATTGAATATTAGCTTGAGAAAAGACTTTACGATGAGTCCCTAGTTTACAAAGCCTGGACTCCCGAACAGTGGAACAAGAGAACCAATTCTAAGCAGTGGAATTTGGGGGGAAGCATTGACTTTTTAATTACTAGAATACTACACTATCTAAATACCACATTTAGAAAATAGGTGAACGTACAAAAGAGAAAATGCAGATAACCCATAATCCTTCTATCCCCCCAAACCACTGTTAATATGCTAGCATATATTTTCAAATGACTTTAGGCATATGTGTATATATATATATATATATATAATTAAGAGCTGTAAACATTTATTATCTAGTTTGCTTACTATATATTGTAATCAACACACAATAAATGCTTTGTTATATACATTATAATAACCAAACTCCATTTTTGTGTATATGTTATTTATTTGGCCACTATACAATTTTTGACACTACTTAAAAAGAACTATCATAATTGTATCAAATGCTTCTGATGTCCTGCCCCCATTCTTCAGACCTCCCCATTGATTTCAGCAACAACAGCAGTAGACAATTTTCTTTGGACTTCAGTTTCCTGTAAGCTCACAGCATCTCTCCTGAAGCTCATTTTTTTTCTCTTGATCTGTGGCCAAGAATGACCAAGAATTGGCGCTGACCCATGCAGATGGTAGGGAAGTGGAGAGGGGTGGAAAACAGAGGTAATTCTTGCAGAGTAGATCTCAACCAATAGATTATGACCCCTCCTTGATGACAGATACTCAGGAATAAAATTCTGATAGGCATTCTGCAGGCTCTTAAGGTGGGATAAAGCCCAGGATGTTCTGTATAGTGGCCTTGATGACAGACATTTTAGTTTTATCTCCTTCCTTTAGTCTCTCCTGACTTCCATTAATGCATCCTGATATCACTACGCAAACAAAAGACTTTGTCTCTGGCTCAGCCTGGAGGAGTGGGAAGAACAAAGCAGTTAAATTAGTGTCTTTCTGTAATTTTTGTGCATATCACTAATCATTTCCACCAGACTAATTGCTAGAAGTAGAATTTCTGAGTTGAAAGTCATGAATAAAATTTACCCCAAGAATTTTGATACACATTACACATTGATAAATCTTATTTAAACAGAAAAATACCTGTTTCTGGATTATCTTGCTTCTCCTCAATGGATTTATTTTTACTTTAATGAAAACTTCAGTTCTATATTCGTTCAGGGAATAATCATTTTTTATTACCTTTGGGATCATTTTTAATCTTAGAAATGTCATCCAAGGAAGAGATATCTAGTTTCTATGAAATTGTTTTTCTCAATCAAGTATTTTACTGCCTTTCAAACCTGAACACAGCAAAATTCCTCAAAAAGAATGAAATGCCACAGTAAAATCTGCCAGCATCGATTTCCACTCTATGGAAAATCAGCCAGGCTCACCATTATTTATAGATATCTCTTGGTATAATTTCCCAATTACCAATTCACAATCACTTGAAGTATAATGTAATCTCCACGCAAAATCCATTCAAAAGAAAGTTACTTATTTGAGTAACTACATAAGTGTTAGGCTTACTTTGCCTGTGGAGGCCTAACCTAGTTGTCCCTAGATAGCTTAGGTGTAAACATCATAATTTTTTATCTACCTGATCTGGCTCACATCCAGTGATTCTGTGATTACTCACATCTATTAACACTCAAAATATATTATAAAATGATCATTTAATATCTTGTTTAACGTGTCGAATGGGATTAGCTCTCCATTTAACCCTTCCCTGGGCTCTCAGCAAATGTTTTTCCATTTTTGTTTCTGTCTAATACCAGTTAAAAACTTTTATTTTTTTCTCACCTTGATTTGTTCACTTTCTTCAGTTTTTTTATTTTCATAGAACTGTCCACTAAGGACAGTAACATACATGTGTCCCGGTGACCATCATAATACATTTCAAACATCTTGTTATCTATTAACTACTCTATTCCTTTGTGAAGAAACAATCATACAACGATGCAGATATGCTCTGGTGTGACTTTTGAATAACGAAATTAATCAGGAAGATGTGGAAGTTTCATCTCAGGACCGGATTTAAGATGCTATTAACATACCCGGCAGTGACTAGAATAGCACTTGGAAATGGAGGACTGCATCAGAAGAGAGAAAGTATTTTATAATTGTTTGTGAAATTAATGTCTTTTTAAATGGATAATTAAGGTCTACTGATAGGATTATTTGGGGAAAAATAATTAGAAGAAAGTTATATATGTAAGAACACATGAAATAACTGTTATAAATGTAATAGAAATTATAAAAACCACTAAACCGGCTCGGCACCTATAGCTCAACCGGCTAAGGCACCAGTCACGTACACCTAAGGTGGCAGGTTCGAATCCCCAGCCCGGACCCGCCAAACAACAATGATGGCTGCAACCAAAAAATAGCCAGGTGTTGTGGCGGGCACCTGTGGTCCCAGCTACTTGGGAGGCGGAGGCAGGAGACTCGCTTGAGCCCAGGAGTTGGAGGTTGCTGTGAGCTGTAATGCCACGGCACTCTACCCAGGGGGACAGCTTGAGGCTCTGTCTCAAAAAAAAAAAAAAAAAAACCACTAAACCAGGAAAAGGAGGTTAAATAGGATTTTCTTTAGTGACCTTACAAGAAATTTTAAATAAAGATGGAGAAGGGTTGATAGGCACGTATCAAACAGAAGGAGAATACTGATGACAAAGCCGTTGTGAGGCAATGAGCTCACACAGCCTGGTCTTCTGTGATAAAGGTAAAATTTCCTAGGGCAGACATTAGATTTGATTCTTGATCACAGGGAAAAGTTAGATGGGCTTCTGTTCGTAGAGGGAAACCTTGAGGAAACAATCACAAGTTGGTGAAATGGAGTCCCCTTCCCTAAGGGAAGGGAATGTAAATGCCAGCAATATTAAGAAAATTAACTTCACGAGGTTAATTGTGTAAAGTTTGAGAGACTAGTACAATGAATCCTTTGGCTTCTCTTAGGAAGTAGACTTTAAGGAAGTTGGCTTTCAAAAAGAACATAGTGCATCCACTCCAAACAAATTATAATGGGATATTTGAAAACCAAAAAGGGAAACAAGAAGCCAATATGACTAAACCCTGAGCTTTGGATAACTCTGAAGGACAAGTAAGGTCACATACAGGTAGATTTTGAAAGACTATTACAAAAGGAAATCGAATCAGAGTAAATTAAATATTTAATTATCAGAATAAAGTACTCCAAGAGAATTCTCTGTTTGCAGAGGATGAAAATAACAATGAAGGTGATGTAAAGATTTTCCTCATTTTTTCATTCTGGAGACACTGGACATTCGCTAGCAAACACAGAAAACAACCTGCCTCCTTTGTGAATTTAAAATATAAATATATCATACAAGTTCATTATAACATCTTCCAGTGTATTCCCTGACGTTTCCATTCAATTTAATTGTGTACATTTTTTACAAGTGTATTTTTGGTATTGATCATTCACACTAATCCAAAATGATAACCCTGAGGACAAAATCCTTTATAAACTCTATTCATTCAAGGAGGAAGAATTAACCTTTTTTAATGATATGCATAGAGGATATGCAGATATATTGAGAGTTGAGATGAAACTGCTGTTCTTTATTCATTTAACCAGATCATCAAGATACAATAGGCACTACCTTACAATATCAACTCCTCCTTTCTTTATCAGAAAATCCTAATTCGTTTTTTGCAAGGAATCATGACCCTACACTCAACACATATAGCTAAATTTCTTGATCCCTCTCTTCCTTCAGGAAGACGCTGATAATCCAAGGGGTAATCCTACTTCCCCTGCCAGTGGCTGGTTTGGAGATGGACATAAGGCCCAATTTTGGTTTATAAGGTATTTTCTATTAGAGCAGCTTCAAGTTGTTCTTTAATAGTTAGGGAAAACTACGGATGATAATACACTTGTCACCATCTAAAAAGAAAACATAAAGACATAAAATTAAGAAATAAAACTCTACTTTTAATTGTGTTCCTGAAAACAAAGCAGGGAATATAATTTTACCAACTGTTCTCTAATGCGTCTTCTGATTTTTCTTTTTTTTTTTTTATCTGTCATTTAATTAAATTAAAAAATTGCTGCTAGTAGGAGAAGGTCATGGTTGCTCAGTGGAACTGCTTTTCTAGGTGATTTAAAATTGATTGATGTTCTATTTGACAGTCCCTTCCTAACTGATTTTACTCACACTTTCTAAACAGTTCCCAGGAGACCTATGACTCAACCCGTGGTACCCTCTTAAGTTTGACTTACACTCTCCATTGTTTCTCTGAGTGTAAAATACTTGCCTTGCTCATACAGCAGACCTGAAATGTCTTCAACTGAACCTATTATCGTCTTTCTCTGTACCACTGCCTTTGTTTCCTGCCACATCTTATACATCACCACCGCCCTCCAAAATCACTCCCTCCACTTCCTATCTCTTATTTATTCCTATAACAAATTGGCTATAATGACTGGTTGTCTCTAAATCTAAATTATCTCTCAAATTAATTCACTCGTTTTCCTTTCTGTATCCAATGCTTTGTGCAGAAACTTATCCACTCTTCCCTGGATTTTACATTACTGATCTTACCAGTCTCTCTGTGGCCTCTGGCTTCCTGTGTTACAATCAGGTTATTTTCCTACAGAGGATATGGCTGTTGAGAGCAAGTGTGTGTGTGTGTGTGTGTGTGTGTGTGTGTGTGTGTATTTAAGTATCAAAGCTTACAAAATGTCATGGCCATCCATGATCTGACGTTTTTATATTTTTATGAGACTTGACCAACATTTCATTTTTCCTCATAAAACCTGGATTACCAGTCAACCCAGAACCTTCACCAATTTTTGGAACATGCAGTTCTTTTTCTTTTCTTTTCTTCCCAATGTCTCTGGGATGACATTTCCTGTTCAAATACTATTCATTCCTAAAATCCCAGTGCAAATTTTACCTTCACTTAGAAATTTTTCTCACTTCCAAGGAGAGCTATTTTCCATTCCTGGTAAGTTTGGAGGGGCTCTTTCAGATGCTTACTTCTCGTCTGTGGTCCTCATACTGAACACATAATGAACTTGAATTATTAACGTATGATTATTAGGTAGAAGCCAGTTTATTTTTAGAAATATGATTTTCATGAGCCTGATAATAATCCTTGTTCCGTATACTACTTTATTATAATGTAATTTTCATCCTACTTTGGCAGTACATTCTGTGAAGATGACCAATAACCCCCCAAAAGCATGAAAACTAAAAAACAAAGACATTCAACTTGTGAAAAATAAAAGAAAAGGACAATTTTAAAGAACTAGGGTCACTTAGCTTTATGATGATAAAAGATTTAACAGGACATAAATTGGACTCCTTGTCTCAGATCAACAAGTTGAGTGGACCATAAGAAAATATTTTCAATAAATAAAATAATAATAATAAAAATAAAATTTTTTCCACAAAATCTGTTCCTTTCCTCCCTAGAGGCCTACTGCAGATTTAGATCTAAGTATTTGGTGACTTTCTATAGAGTTAGCTCTTTCTACTCCTAGAACCCATGTGATAGATGTGACTTTATCCGAATACTTGGCGTGACTTAAAAGAAGCCATAGAAAGTCCTGTCTCAGTGAGCAAAACAAATTCTTAGTGATCTCAGATGATGTCTGTCACAGGATCTGACTTGTTATATGGTTACTTGTTTGTGCATTGATAATATTTTCATCCCTTTCTTTGCTCCAATAAGGTTTACTCTGAAACCTTTGTGAACAGAAGAACTTCATCTGGCTATTGACTGCCGTATCCCCCAGAACCTAGGACAGTGCCTGCACCATGGTGAGTCCCATGAGTAAAGATCTAGCGACTCAATCAATTACAATAATTTACTCTACCAACAATGGAAAGATACGTGTTTATAGACGTCTTCTAAATTGTGTTTGGCTATATTTGCCCAATCCTACCTTCCCCTCACATTGTTGCCCTCATTCTTAGACCTCGTTACAGGCCTGAATTGTGGCCAATGAAAAGACATGTGCAATTTTCAGGACATAGTTTATACCAGGGGAAAGATGTATAAATTTGACTCTGTGGCTATTACCCTGCCCCATTATATTTGTAGGTTTAATATCAGCAAAATGTACTAACCTGGAAATGCCTCTCCATGTTTACCTTCCCATACTGCTGATTGGGAGTAGACAAGGATCAAGATTCGTAGTCCCTGGCTCAGTCGGCTGGGGCACTGGCCACTGGGGCTGATGGGTTCAAACCCAGCCTGGACCTGCTAAACAACAATGACAACAACAAAAGAAAGCTGGGTGTTATGGCGGGCACCTGTAGTCCAAGCTATGAGGCTGAGGCAAGAGAATCGCTTAAGCCCTAGAGTTTGAGGTTGCTGTGAGCTGTAAAGCCACGGCACTCTACCAAGAGCAACATAGTGAGACTATCTGAAAAAAAAGAAAAAAAAAAAAGAAAAAAAGATTTTTAGTCCCTGAGTATTTGTGGATAGAGTTCAGGAGTCCATGAACTTGGATGAGAACAAACTATGTATTTATTTTAACTGTCTCTATCCTAAATTTACATTTATTTAACTTCTGATCACAGCCAACAATCCCCAGTAGTATTAGTAGTACCCGACATGGCTACTGGTTAAAATCACAGATATTTCCATATTTGCTCATATCTTAAAATATTACTTACCATGATCACTATTTCAAAATTTTGGTGGTTGATAAAACTGTCCTGCTAGATATACTTATTTAATGGTAATTTAAAAACACATTTGTTATTATATTCCAAATTTATTTTGTATATATTTTGATAAATTTTTTTCAGTCACATTTAAATTCTCTCTCTCTAGATATATATTTGTGTTGTTTAGCTGGCTCGGGACAGGTTTGAACCTGCCACTGGCATCATAACCACCATGCTATGGGCACTGAGCCTAAATTCTTTATTTTATTGTATTTTTTATTTTTTGAGGCAGAGTCTGACTCTGTCACCCTGGGTAGAGTGCTGTGGTGTCATAGCTCACAGCAACCTCAAACTCTTAGGCTCAAGAGATCTTCTTGCCTCAGCATCCTGAGTAACTGGGACTACAGATACCCACCACAACTCCCTGCCCCACTAGTTTTTCTATTTTAAATATAGACAGGGGTCTCACTTTTGCTCCATCCACCGTGGTCTCCCCGAGTGCTAGGATTATAGGCAAGAGCCACTGCTGGGCCCCTTTTAAATTCTTGATTTTGCCAGCATAAAATGGAGAACTTTGCTGGCATTAATACCCTTGGATATTTACTTAGGTTAGAATTTAGGACAGTCATACTTAAGTGCCTTATGTTTTTCCTAATTGCCTCAGGACTGACATACCTATGCCAGGCACTATTCTTTTTTATTTTTAATGTTTACCACTATTATTTTTTTTAAGTTCGATATACAAATATCCATTGTATACAATTAGCAATTAGAGAATTAAAGTTAACATGACAACACAAAATATGAAATACATAGAAATAATCCTTCAGAAATATATAGTATTTCCACGTGGAAAACTGCTACTTATTATTGAAAATATAAAAAAGACACACACCTGTATATATTGCAAAATTGTTATTAATGATTTTTTTATTTAAGTATTCCTTCTGTTATAACTAGGGTTATTGTCTTTCTAGGGACATCAGTATGCCACATAACAAATTCAGTTTGTTCTGGGGGTTCAGGATTATAGCAAACAGCTGGCCCACTGGGGGGCACACACATCTGATATTGGGTGTTATTACATATGCAAGTACCTTCAAGCTTTCCTCTACATTCATAATAAGAGTAAACCAATAACACAGTTTTGGCAGTTTATCTAGTTTGAGTTACCTTTTGGATACAATTTCTACAACCTTCATCATGTCTTACACCTAAGATTAAAGAAGGAAGGTGAAAAAGTCCAAAGCAAAGAATCAGTCATCAGTCCCATGCTCTGCTGCTCATCCTTAAGCTTCTGCCCTGCTAGACCAGTCAGCTCCTGGTCTGTACTGGGGCAGGGCTGTAGTCTGTTTTTTCAGGGTAAGACTGTGAGGATGCTCTGGGTGTCGCTGAACCGTCCACTCACCATCTCTGGCGGGTTTCACACATGAGTGATGTATCCAGGCAGCGATGCCATTCACCGTCACTGCTATTGGTGTGGACAGGATCACTAAGTAGGGGCCTTTTCACCATGGTTTCAGTGGGCTCAGGCTCCAATTTTTTTTTTGGCCAGGGCCAGGTTTGAACTCTCCTCCTCCAGTATATGGGGCCGGCACCCTACTCCTTTGAGCCACAGGTGCAACCCAGCAGGCTCCAATCTTTAATCCGTACCTGGTTACCTGGAGAGTGGGGATAGACTGGGGGTGACAAACTAACGGGGTGTCTATCATTCACCCATTCTGAAATCTTTATTTTGTTTTGTTGTTGTCATTATTTTTCCAAGTGACATTAGTTGGTTAGTAAATTAATAAATTTTGTTTCTTCCAGTTCTTTCAGGGTCCCTGGCAAACTCTTAAAATGGGAGGGGTCCTGTGATATAATATTTTATAGGGTAACTATTCCTTTTTTTTGTTTTTTAATTTTTTGAACCAGGTTACATTGATTGCACTCCTTAGGTAAAGTCCCTCATCTAATTGTGTCCCACCCCCAAAAGATATACCACACACCATGACTCCCCAGGCCCCTCCTTTCCTCCCACTCTCTACCATCCCCTTTTCCCACCCCCTACGGAGTACTAGGTCATTAATTGTTCTCATATGAGAATTGGGTACATAGGATTCTTGTTTCTCCATTTTCGTGATGCTTTACTAAGAATAAAATGCTCTACTTCCATCCAGGTTAATACAAAAGATGTAAAGTCTCCATCTTTTTAAATGGCTGAATAGTATTCCATGGTATACATATACCACAGCTTGTTAATCCATTCCTGGGTTGGTGGGCATTTAGGATGTTTCTAAATTTTGGCAATTGCAAATTGAGTTGCAACAAACAGTCTAGTGCAGGTGTCCTTATGGTTAAAGGATTTTTTTCTTCTGGGTAGCAATGGAATTTCAAGATCAAATGGGAGGTTCTAGCTTGAGCTGCAACAAATAGTCTAATGCAGGTGTCCTCATGGTTAAAGGATTTTTTTCTTCTGCCCAGCAATGGAATTTCAAGATCAAATGGGAGGTCTAGCTTGAGTTCTTTGAGGGTTCTCCATACTTCCTTCCAAAAAGGTTGTATTAGTTTTCAGTCCCACCAGCAGTGTAAAAGTGTTCCCTTCTCTCCACCTCTACGCCAGCCTCTGCAGTCTTGAGATTTGTAATGTGGGTTATTTTCACTGGGGTTAGGTGATATCTCAGGATGGTTTTGATAAATTTACATCACTGTAATTGCTTTCTTTTGTAATCCTAAATACTTCATTGTATGTATTTAAAACCATTATACTTAAAAAGGGTCTTTAGGCTTTACCAGAGTAATAGATGAGTTTATTGTGCAAAAAAAAAAAAAAAAAAAAAAAAAAAAAGAAAGAAAGAAAGAAAGAAAAGCAAAGCAAAGAAAGAAACAAAAATGAGAACTCTGCTTCTGGCTTGGCAGAGTCAAAAGAAAGTGCCTGGGTCCTGAACCATCACAAGACAGGAGTTGCCAGTTGAAAAGTAAACCCTTTATTGAACTATTAAGAGAATGAAAAATAAATTACTATTGCTTTTGATCCATTATTTATTTTGGAGCACATTAGTTAGCCCAGACTGTCCTACCCAAACTTATATAATGCTACAATATTTTCTTCAGTCTTTAATACCTATGCAATAAAATACTATAACCAAGAAAGAATCAGGAAATAACAAGGATAATCCAAAGAACTATGTGGAATAAACAGAAAATAAACTGAAATACTCATGTCAGTAGTGTAGCTGTTCAAGGCTAAGTGACTTTCAGCCTGATTTATTACAAGTCCATTTGTATAATAAGCTTTTTTATAATTAATGACAGCTTTCATCTTAGGCTTCTGAAAACTTTGGTCATTAAATCTCATTCACAGTTAGAACAAAGAATTTTGTTTTTCTTTTAAAACGGACCACTCTCTGTACTTCAGCTATGATTGAAACATTTTTGCCACTCAGTGCCGTGTACTCAAATTTCAGTCTCAGTATTATCCTTTCTGCTGATATTAAACCTGCAGATATAACGAGAAAAAGGAATACCCTTAAGGTGGAGGTTGTACGTCCTTTCACGTCCTTCCACACCCACAAGCCCGATGAAGCAGATTTAGTTCTCGTTTTCTTTGGAATGTTTTAAGTTGGCCACAGTTTCCAAAAACCAGATGTGATTCATTTTGGACAAGATTTAAACATATAAATTTCACATGAGTTTAGAGGCCACAAAAGTCATGGAAGAAGCATCTCATGATTTATAAACACAGCCCATTCTGGGCGAGGGATCAGTGAAGGCGATAGGGGCAAAAGAAATATCTGGGAGCCCTTAAGGTGAACTGCTTCAACCCAATTCACAATTATATCACATTGTTATATAATTACTTCTTTCCCGTTTCAACAGAAAAGCGTGACTCCTTATTATGCTTTCCCTTTCTGCAGCCTTCTCAGTAGGCACCACCCTATGTGTCTGCATAAAATCCAAATATCAATCACATTCCAGGCATTTCTTTTGGCTTGTGTATTTTTCTCTGTCCACCCATCTGCCAGGCCTGCTTTATGCTACAAGACTCAGACTTTCACAATTTAAAGATGATAAAACCCCTCAAAAGCTGGATTCTGAATTATTTTAATATCAAAACAAGTTTCATTGTGTTATGGACATGTGAAACTATTTAAAATTAAGTATATACATGTACATGAGTACACTTTTTTTTCTAATGAGTGATCTACTTTTCCCAAAGAATTCTCCTTATTAAAAAGTCTTCAAATTATACAAGTACATTCAGGAAAACTATAATTGACTCTGAAATGATCAATTATATCAGCTCTCTTTCTTTGGATGTAACAGAGATACATATTTTAGATTTTTGACTGTAAAGTATGTTTTGATTTCTTAGCTGCATTGGGTATCATGTATTCATTAGAAAGTTCCTATTCTGAAAGAAATCACAGATGACAATTATTTACTCCAACAATGCAACAGTAAATATTTTGAGACAGTCAGTATATCATTACTAGTATTTTAAATCTAATAATAAACTCAATAGCACAAGGATGTAACCCATAATAATGGGAAGTACAAATGACAATTGCCCATCTTACGAAGAGCTATTTCCCCAGGATAAAAATG